ACCAGATCTTTTGAGAAGAGAAGAACATGTCTGCTGCTCAAGGTTAACGATTTTGATCATATTTCTACAAATTTCTAAATTTAAAAAGAGCATATCCAGTATATTTTAACAGCATTCAGAGTTAACGATGAAAACAACAAAAACACGAAATAAAACCGCTGCTATCCTTCATCTTACTTCAATGACTTGTTAAATTTAAGGTCTGCACTCATTAGTGAACAATTATCTCTTATTTCAAAATCAAAAAAAATAATTTGTTTATAATTACTGTCAGCACGTGATGGCTTTCGTAGAGTAATTTTCACTTCTTGTAATTTTCTGCAGTTTAGAATTCTCTATTGTATAGTATATGACAGAGAAAGCTTAAACTTTTACGTACTATTAAAATAAATTTGTTAAAATTTGAAGGAATTTCTTCTGAGTTACTCATAATTAAATACTTTATTTTGTTCTCACTCTACTCTATACTCTACTATCACACGTTTTATTGAATTGCATTCATTTTATCTAATGCTCTAATAACCTAAATTTGGATTAGTTGTCTTTTTCATTTTATTAAAATAGAATTTTATTGCACTTAATATAACGTCTATTTTTGCTCAATGCTTATTACCTTATCTATACATTATTTCGTGTAACGTATGTATTTACTAAAACAGCAAAAACTTCGGGTCTCCTGCATAAATAATTTAATAAATCTATACTTATCATTATTTTCATAGATTACTTCATTTCAGAAAATATTTGTCTTCTGAAGCGATAAAATAATGCATTAAGAATAGTCAAGTGTCTGACGACAAAATTCAATAAGAAACTTGGCTGAAATAAAACAATATGCATATTTGCTTTTTTTGTGTTGAGAAGACTACACTAAATGTCACAATGATGACGCACTCATAATTCACTCGCTTTACGTTGCAGTTTGTAATCGTATACTTACGTTTTTGTATAAATGCAAAAGTATATTACATCTTTTCTCTTCTCAAAATCTCATGCACACATGATATTTGTGAAAGAATGAAAGAACAGAACAAAAAAATAATCAATGCATCTCTGAATTAGAGAAGGCACAGTTGTTTGTTTTTTATAGCGTAGCCTAGTTGAGAATGGAAAGAAAAGAACATTGATTTAGCATTTGAATGACATGTGGTTCAGAAAAAGAGATATTGAACCGACTCAGTTTTGAATAGGTAAAACAGACAGAGTTTAAGTTAGCACATGTCAAAACAAGAGAAGCAATAAACATCTATCGATCAATTATAACTTTGAGCTAATGCTTGTGATCTTATATTTATCCAAGTCTATCAAATATCACTGGTTTTGCTCCAATGCTTTTCATTCACGTATGCCGCTGGTGACATACTGTCATCCTATATTTATTGTTTTGATAATTGTAAGTTTATGAAACATGTGGCGGAGAAAACCCGAATACTCAATACTTGGAAGTTTTGTTCGAGGTCTTCACGTACAATACAACTTCTTTTTCCACAAATGACAAGATTAAAGGTCGCCCTTCGAATTCTCTATCGAATTTGATTGATTCTTGCGTCACTTTTGAGCGACTTGTGAAGATAATTGTTTTATGTGGACAACACTAATGGTCGATTAATACTAGATTTAACAAAAGTAGAATTCCTTTAGTTTATTAACAGGCTCTCTAATTACGTATTTGATTGCTATCTTGGACCGTAACTTTGTGAAGAAATCGTATTTGAACTTGAATTAGAATGAATAAAGTCAACATGTTCTTAAAACCTCTTACTAGTTTGCCGTATTCAATTTATATGAATTGCAAAACCTCAAATAGCCAAATACCATCGGTCATGATCAACTGAAGTTCCAACTTTCACTGAACAGAATCGATGAGCTATTCCAGAGTTTTTCAGTTATGAACGGTCATTACGAAGCTTTTAGCAATATTAGACACAAGCATTCAGTTCTATTTCATTTCAGAACAAAAGGACAGAGATTGTAACAAATTTTTCTTGATAAAAATCGAAACTGGTATTGTCTGAAGTGGGTTCTAAAATTACAATAACATATGATGCAAAAGTAATGGCACAAAATGTTGATTTATATAACTCGTTGATATGTACGATTGGAAAAGAATATTTTTTGATCAATTGATAGAAAGATTTCTCCTCTTTCAAGTAGTGTATGATTAATATTTATTATGCTCTCCTTTCTACCCGCTATCAAGAAGACATATCAAACTTATTCTTTTGCCTTGTTTGGACTGAAAGGTCAACAAGAATAATGAAAAAAAATTGATAAATAAGAAAATTAAAAAAATAAAACGAAGTAATAAATAAGCAAAATTTTTAAGTAATCAATTAATAAATTCTACAAGACGTCGGTTATACAATTGTATTGCAATGCCGCCAAGAAGGAGCGAATATAGTCGTGGAAAATTAAAAGGTGAACAAGACAATCCAACCACTACCGCACCTCCACAGCAGATACTTACAGAGAGATGAGTGAGCAGAACACCAACATCCATACTTCACTCATGCATAGTGCAGTTTCACCAAAATATCCGAAACTGGAATATAAGTCTCAACCGATACAATACGTAAAAAATTAAAATACTTAAGTAATAAAGGGTAGTCCAAAAGTTTCGTCCCTTCTCAGTAAATCGATCATATCTATAATAAATTTACATGAAGTTATTGTTGGAGGCAAAATTAGAATTCAGGCAAATCTTAGATATTGTCCAGGCAAACTTGGAATTCCAATTTTGACTGGTTAATATTAGAATTCTAATATTGACTAGACACTCATTGAGCAAAATTGGAATAGGATAAATAATTTTTATTGAATAATATTTTTTCCTTTCACTAAACACTTTACAAGATAAGACAGGAATCTTGATTTTGGATGTCAGGCAGCTTTGCCATCTCTTGAAATAAAAAAAAATGGAAAAGTCAGTAGGAAAATGGTGTTGGTAAGTGTTTTTCATTTGCATCCACATCCTCACCCTCAAGCAGACTAATTTATTCTATTTTTGTCCTAAGACCTAAGAAAACTATCGTTGAAATTAATACAGCAAAACAGAACCAACTTATTCTGTTCATTCCAATATGATAAATGACAACTCTCAAAATAACTAAACGGGAAAAATTCATTTCAATTCAGTTATCCGATTGTAATTTTCTGATCCGGCAAGTCAGCAGTAACAGAATAACTAAATGAAGAAGAAATAGCATGGCTAGTTTTCTAATTCAACTTCCATTATAAAATGTGCAAGACCTTTTAAGATAATTAAACAAAGGCAACGAAAATAAATCTATCGTTTCTGTTTCTCTCGGGACAAATACGCGAAATACGAACGTAGTTATGAGAAGAAAATGACACGAAAGTATGCTATTCAGTTATTCTTTTTATAAAATGCATAATCACTTTCAGGACATCTCAACAATGAAAAAGATAAATTAAACAAAACAGTCCTTTTTAGTTTTTATCACAAAAATGATGAGAAAACTCGGAATAACCAACTGAAAAAAAAAGCAAAAGAAAGCATTTTTTCATCCTAGTGTTTCTATAAATTCTGCGATAACTGTCAGAATCAGTAAAATAAAAAAGAAGTAAACTAAACAAACTTCTTCCGTTTTACCGTTAGTTTTTTCCCAGAAAAATGATGAGCAACACTCAGAGTAACCAACTGAAGAAAAGAAAAGGAAAGGGTTTCTTTTCATTCTATTGCTTCTGTAAAATCTCCAACAACTATTGGAATAAGTAAAATAAAAAAAAAGGGTAAACTAAACTAGCTTTCTCCGTTTCTTTGTTAAAAATGCAGTTAAATTACATAGTTAAATGATGAAAGAGAAAAATATATTGGACCAATCGATTTTGATGGCGCGCACAGTGACACATAACCATGAGAATAAATAAATGAAAAAAAAAAGAAAAGAATATGACGACTGAGTTCCATTGCTAGAAGTGTCATGAGAATGAAATCAAAAAAGGAACTTACAGTAAGTAAACCATTTTGATTTTTCTCAGAAAGTGGTGAACAAGATTCGGAATACTTAGAAGTGTAAGCCGTGCAGCTAGGCCGCTGCTGTGAGTATTAAACTTTTTTACAACCATCGCCGAAGATTTAAAAAAGTTGAAAATTTTTCGGCTTCGTCGCCGCTCGTCTTGTCGACTTACACCTCTGAGAATAACGGCACAGAGGAGAAAACGGAAACTGTTTTTTTTTTCATTTCATTACAGTTGGAAAATCAGGAAGGACAGCTTTGCATTAGCATTAGAAAAATGCTAATATCATATAAATAACGAAAAACAGAAATGTAGAATCAGTTTTCTATGCACAAAGGATATTTTATATAGCAAAGTATAAAATATTTATTCATAATATTATATACATATGCTGATAACAAAACTGATTCAAGTGACGTAGTGTTTCATGTTAACATCATTCCTAGAACTATGAAATGTTATTTAAAAAAGATGAACACAACAAAATCTTTAATTATTAATGAAGAAGATTTTTGGATGAACCAAAAGAAACCAAATACTTATCTATAAGAATTTTACTACGTTTTAAAACAAAGCGCTGTCTTCTAAAGCTAGGATGGGTGTGCGTGCTTTGTTGAAGAAAAGAACAACACCTACGCTTACATCGACACCTTCTAGTTATTCTGAAAATTATTTTTGTTTATTTTTTAGGATACCTGTAACATTGCGATCACTAAGTGAGAAGTTAATCATTTGTCGCGATTGTTGCAAAAATCTTCATTTGTGTCCTATATACAATGGGGAGCTTATCACCGATATTTCCATGACCCAACCGATGATATAAAAGAAGCACGACAAAAGCTAGAAGACTACTGTTTTCAATCTGATCTCACGAAAAAGATCAGCATCAAACCCAATCAACAACCAATCGGACATGGTGCCATGGATCGAGTCTTTCGCGTGAAAAATACTTATACTATAAAATGTGCTCTTATAGAAAATACGATTGACATAGAAAAAGCCCTATTCATGAAATAGTTATGTCTCATCCTTTAGCACATGAAACTAATTTAGTAACAGTGTATGGTTGTCTTCGTTCACCACATCATGGCATTAGTATTTCCATGGAATATGTCAGTAAATCGTTACTTACTGCTGCTTTCGCTAATAACTCAACGATTGCCAGTAATTTATCTATTCGAGAACGTTTACACATTGCGTTGGGAATGACCAAAGGTCTGAATGAGATGCACTTAGTTCAGCTTACTCATCGTGATTTCAAACCAGAAAATGTACTTCTTTCTCGATTGTTCAACGGTAATTACATGCCAAAAGTAGCTGATTTTGGCGTCAGCTTTCAGTTAATTATCACTTCAGCTAAGCTCGCCAAAAAGTCGAGAGATACTGCTGATTATGATGCACCAGAAGTGGCTGTAGATAATAAAATACCATCTGTAAATTCACATATTTATGCTTTAGTCTTTACTCTCTCTGAACTATTGCCAGCCTAACGTGTTTTTTCTAGCACAAATTCTGGCGAAATTCACTATGCGCGGCGAACGTCCACATAATTGGCCTGATTGTATACCAAATCTTCTGAAACATGTAATTGAACGGGCTTGGTCCGCAGTGCCTGATCAGAAAACAGTCATTAGTGAAATCATTTGTTCCATACGAAATTCTCTTAACTCGAACCAACGATCATGCATTGAGATGCTCCAGCAGACTAATGCGCTACATAAGAAGGTGGCTTCTGTTCAATTTGAATGGTTACAACCATCGGTACTATTTCTATTCAATGAATTTGTTAAACGTGTGACGATCGATGATTATGAGGTGGTGCAACTGTTCATCAATAAATTGCCTCCAAATTTATAAGACAAATAATCATAAAATGAGTGGCACATTCAAAAACATTCAAACGTGATCTTTGTTATAATCCACTTTGTCGGAACTCAGTCGTTTAAGAGAGGCTCGACCAACCCATCGAGAATCGCTGCCACATGCTCAAAAAAAGTTTCTTTTTTTTATCTCATTCAATTCCTTGAAATCAAGTAAGGTTATAAAAATTTTTTAGATTTTCAGAGGCTTTTATGATGGAGTTATAAGCTTGCCAACTGGATGGGATGCGTATGGATGTGGGTGTGCATGAACGTTCTGTGCTTTAGTGTAGCGTATATTCATAAACCTACACTTACATCCACGCCTGCATCACCAAAAGTTCATACCCTTCTACAATTTTAAGACCTATCTATGAAAACAACAAAATTTTCGTATTTAATTGTAATTCTTGCGAGTTGAAATTGCTTTGTTTCATCAACGAATAATTAGCAGTGAACAAGGACGCATCTTATGAGACTTATCAGAACGTTATGTTCTGAGTGTAGGTATGAACAAATGAGAGATTACACCCACACCCGAATCAGTTATCATGTAGTGGTGTAAAAACAATAGATAGGGCTAAGTCCAATTTAATCTTACCAAACTTTCATGACCTAAAATCTCTAGAAGTCTTTTTCGATAGAAAAATTCATACGTCTTTGTTGTCTGTTTTAAAAAGCGTTTTTTGTTTTTATTAATTCGACGTCATAGTTAACCTTTTGAGTGGTTTTGACGTATCAGTCGAAAACGTCTGTTAGACTCTCGACAACGTAAATAACTGCAGCGTTCAAAGCCACCTCCGGAAAACTAATTTCAATAAACAAAAATTACATATTTCTTATTTTTCCGGTGGAGAGAGTAATAGAAAATCAACCTTCGGTTTATTGAGAAAAATTTCATACAAATACCATAGCAAATGACAGTGTGCAATCCTAAATCATGAACTAGATTTACGACAATATATAACATGTAAGCAGCTTTGCTTTCATCGATTTCATGCCATTTTGACTCGACGGATTGTTGTCAAGAATCATGACTATAACTTTCAAATAATTCAATGTTTCTCTTCTGTAAATTTCAATCAAGAGAGCACACCAAAATGTATTCTCTAAGAGCGTTTTCAAAACTAATTGTATGTTTTTGAGTATTCTAACTGCATGTTAGTTTTGTTATGCCTTCATACAATCGCTTCTTTTCACAGATTGTTGAAGCAAAACAAGAAAGTCTTTGTCATATCTTTTGAGAGAGTGAAATTGTCAAAAAAAGAGAAATCATTCTCAAGGACAGACAAACAAATTCGTTGCCTCTTGAAGAACACTTCTCCCAACATCAACTTCAACTGTTCCTTTATTTATGCGCCAGAGAAGTCCAATAATACCAAATACAAATTTCATTTCTATTGTTTATTAAAAAAACATCTTCCAATTGAATGTTACTGGCGCCTTAACAACATATTTTACACACTTTTATAATTCAATTCAGATTGAACAACAAAAAAGACTATTGAAGTATCGAGTAGCTACTCTTCTCTACGCAAAAGAAACTTTTTTCTCATACGAAGAATGAGCAGGTAGAAAAACAAAGTTATTTGTTATTCTTTCTTTGTATGAAAGCAATCAGTCACTTTTTATTTTACCGCAGCAGTCAATTGCCTAGTTTTCGTTTATCGTTTTCTACGAATATCGTCTGCGAAGTATTATTGCAAAAAGACTCCATCTAAACAGGTGAAGTGTCATTTGTAATCTAAAAGATCTTCTTTGTGTTTCTGTATTGTAAATGAACAAGGATTGAACTATGGTGAACATAAGAGAAACAAATAAACGAAAAAGATTGACAACTAACTTCCTTACATCGTTGTAGAGTTTTCGAGAATGTCGTTTGTATAATAAGTCATTAGTGACGCTGTGAGAATGCACTTTTGTTGCTTGCATACAATTAATGTATTTTTTTAGATAACAATTTGTTTAAGCAAAATGGCGAGAAGTAGTCAATTCAAGTACATCGATAAAGAGTCCGTTGGCTCTGCTTTACTATGCTCAATCTGCAAAAGACCTTTCGAAGATCCACGATGTACTCCATGTAATCATATATTTTGTCGCAATTGTATAATTAGGTGGATTGCAACAAATAGAGAATTATGTCCTGTATGTCGAAAGTTTGTGTCAATTGATAGTTTATCACAAATCAGCTATACTTTGAACAATATGCTTGATTCACTTCAAGTCAAATGTAGCCTCTGTGGACGACCAGATATACAACGAGGAAAGTTCAATGATCACATTAATCAATCCTGCCCATATGTTCTTATACCCTGCTTGTCAGCAGATGTTCAATGTCCGTGGATTGGAGAGCGAAGTCAACTTAATAATCATTTGTCCACGTGTGTTTTCCATCCTATTCGATCTGTACTTATTCAAGTCTTTGCCGAAAATCGACAGCTCAAAGAACAGTTCCAACAACAGATAAATCAAAATCAGGAACTTCAAACCGAAATTCAACACCAAAAAGTTGAAATAGAACGTCTTCGTCAACAATTCAATCAACATGAGTCTCAGATTAACAATTTAACATACCAAATATCAGGTGAGAATACAAGAGAATATTCATAACAAATTAAGTAGTGATCTTCTCGAGTCTAGACCTAGTACATATA